CAATCATACCTATTTGGCAGGTTACTTTAAGGACAAGATGTTCTCTAATGCAAAGGTTTTTTTCTCACGAGAGCAGAAGAAACTACATTTCCCAAGAAGGGCTGATTGATGATCTGTCTCCTGACAATTCTAATTAACTTGGTAAGCCCAGTTTGGAAATACGTAAGTTTCATCACTGAACCTAAATCATTTTAATTAGTTTTTCCTGCTTCATATTGTCAGATGTTATTTTAATTTCTTGAACCGTTCTTCTTCATAAACTACACTTAGAATACATGTTTGTACTCCAGCCTACAGAATTCTCTTCCCTTCTCTCTTCCCGATTGTCATATGTTCAACTTCAGAAAGTCCAGACTGTTCGATAGCATGAATTTGTCTATTTCCTCAGGATTAGGTTCAGATTAAACATTTTGGCAGCAAATATTTTTTGCTTAAAGATTTTAGGAAATGCATTTTTAGCTATCTTAACACCTCCTATGTCTATGTTTCATCTTTCCAATAAATTATAAATAAGGACCTTGAAAGATGTGCCCTTTTATGTCTTTGTTATTTCCTCGGCGAGATCTCACTCCATGCATGTAACAGATTCAATAAGTAACTGAAAAACTTGCAACTGGAGTTGATAACTGTTTCTAAGGATAGTAGAACATGCATAGTTACTACACACTGGGTAGTTTTATATTAGATTACAAACATTTGGGCTTTGCTTGCAAAATTTTTGTCTATGTAATTATTAAGCAAGTCAACAGTTTAATATAGCATTGAATATAGTACTATAGAGCTGGGGCTAAGGGCTGGTATCAAATGAACTGAACTGCTGAGATAGGAAAGTGAGAGAATAAATATGGTCATCTGTTTTATTACAATTTTTTTAATGAGTAAACTAGGCTTTAAATGGAAACTTGCAACAGGAATAAATTTAATAAAAATCTTCCATCAAGTGTTTGAGTGACTAGAAACTCCTTCTTGCTTTGTTCGAAATTTGTTTGAAAGGCAGAGAGAGAAGAAGAGACACAGAGAGATCTTCGATCCACTGGTTCATTCCTCAAATGCTATTCCTAATGATGACCAGCCAGGGCTGGGTCAGTGAAGTCAGGCCAGTGAAGCCAAGAGCCAGGAGCTTCACCTAGGTCTCTCACCTAGGTGTACTGATCCAAGCTTCTGGGCCATTCTCTGCTGCTGTTTCAGGTACATTAGCAGAGATCTGCATTAGAAGTGGAGTTAACTGGGTGTAGAATCAGCACCTTATGGGATGCTGGCATTGCAGGTGGTAGTTAGTACACTTTGTCATGACACTGGTCCCAAGAAACTACCTCTCTTTTTTATTTAAAGATTTACTTTTATTATTTTTTCATTGGAAATGCGGATATACAGAGAGGAGAGACAGAGAGGAAGATCTTCCGTCTGATGATTCACTCCCCAAGTGAGCACAACGGCCGATGCTATGCCGATCCGAAGCCAGGAGCCTCTTCTGGGTCTCCCACGTGGGTGCAGGGTCCCAAAGCCTTGGGCTGTCCTCAATTGCTTTCCCGGGCCACAGGCAGGGAGCTGGAAGGGAAGCGGGGCTGCTGGGATAGAACCGGTGCCCATATGGGATCCCGGGAGTGCAAAGCGAGGACTTAACCACTTGCGCCACTGCGCCGGGCCCAAGAAACTATTTCTTAAAGAAGGAAAAAGAGCAACAGATGGGCCAGAGTTGTGGCACAGTGGGTTGTGCTGCCATGCTGGCACCCAACCTGAATGCTTATTTGAGTCCTGGTTATTCTACATTCCATCCAGTTTCTTGATAATTTAGGTGGGAAAGTAGTAGAAGATGTTCCAAGTATTTGGGCCCCTGACACTCACATGGGAAAACAGGAAGAAATTACTGGCTTCTTGCTTCATTCAGGGCCAGCTACAGCTGTTGTGGCCATTTGGGGAGTGAATTAGCAGATGGAAGATTTTTTTTCTCTCTGTCTCTCTATAAGTGTTTTTCAAATAAATTAAAAAAAAACTTTTTTTAAACAATAGTGTACAAAGAAAACTAAAATAAAAATGTTAGAAAATGTGTTACATAACATGAGGTTCAGTGACTACACACTATTGTAATAATATGGGAAAAATAGTGGCGGGGTAGGATCAGGAGGGAGAAAGGGGCGGTGGAGGAGGGAATTCCCATACCTACAAAACCATATCATGGACAATAATAACAATAACAACAACAACAACAATAATTCATTCTTACTAGCAGTAAAACACCAAAAAACATATTTGCAAAAAATGTGATGCAATCTTTAAAGATTTAGTGAAGCCTACTAAATTGAAAATGAAACAAAATTACTATTCTGGAGGTAGCATTTGTTTAGCCTAGCTCTTAACATGCCTGTACCCCACATTTGACAACCTGGGCTCTACTCGAGTCTGGCTTCTGACTGCAGCCCTCGTATTACAGCACATTCTGGGAGGCAGCAGCCACGGCTCAATTAACTGAGTTCTTACCCCCTATTTAGGAGCAGGAGCGCCCAGCCCTGACTACTATGGGCATCTGAACGATGACCAGCAGATAGAAACTGGATCTTTCGGTCTCTCTCCTTCTTTCACATACATACACAAATATTCTGAAATGCTATCTAGCATGCCATGCAAAGCAAAGGAAAGGAAAGCAGTAAACCTGACTTTTTGAAGAATGACTGGTATACAAAACAAGAAACTGGCAAGTTGCAGAAATTGCAGATTAGATAGTATTCAGTTATAGCAGCTATTCCTAATTATGACCAGGCTTTGAACTACTAGCTGACATTAAGGCTACTCCTCTACTCTGCCTCACACAAGTATATTTTCAGTGCCGTTCATTACATCACTCAATTGTTTTTAAGGCAGAATTTATACTTTCCTTTTGCTGATATTTCCCCCCTTTATATATAACTAACAACCTATTGCAAGAAAAGCAGAAGGTTTATTTCATCCAAATGCAACTGGGAAAATGTACTACTACATGATGCCTTTAAATGTCAGATGTAGTGAGTTTCTGCAGATTTATTTTTCACGGAAAAAAAAAAACTGATGTCATTGCCAGAAATATTGTAGCTGCCAGAAAACTTTTTTTTTTTTAATGCTGGACATAAGACAACTCTAAAAATTGAACAAATAAGTCCACAGCATTCTTCAATAAATACTGCTGAGGAAATCTGAAATTGCTATGAGTATTAAGGTATGTTTCTTTTAAACCAAGGTACATTCCAAAAATGCAAACAGACTCAAAATCTACTACAGAATCTTCAGAACCACTGCCATTGAAATATACAGTATTACAAGATGAATAGTCTCTATGACCCACTTAGCTAAAAAGGCTCATGCTTCTTCCCCTCTATAGAGGAGTTATTTGGTTTGGCTGGCAGATGTGGATTTTTCATGCTATGAAAAAGAGTAACTGAGGACACTACAGAAAGCCAAGAATCATAAGCGCTTGATGATATGCTATATACCATTAGCCTTTACAAACAACCCTTCAGCGAGAAAGCCAAACTGAACCTTACAGATCAATGCTATTCCCTTGCTTTTGTGTCAGGATTGTAGCTATGTCAAACGATGGATAGTAATCAATTCTATAACAATAAAACAAGTTTAGGCTTTGCAAACCGATAAGTATTACTTTAACTACTGCAGGCCCATCACAAATACCCCTAATAAAAGTTATTCCAACATGGTATTCAATTTGAAAAGTTATTTCCAAATATTGTTCTTTCCTTCTTAAGAGGTCAAATTCCCATCTGTTTCAGTATTACAAGAAAGCACATTATTTGTAGAGTCAGAATTCCAAATACAGGAGGAATGCATAACACTACTATAAAAAATGAACTAACTTAATTTTAAAAGATAATTTCTTTTATTTAGAAGCATTTTAAAATATCGATCCATTTTGTTTAGCTAAAATTTCTTGAGAATTTATTTAAGAGGCAAAAAGAGAACCCTCTTGGGTTGGGTCACTCCCAAAACGCCAGCAACGGCTGATGCTATGCTGGGTGCCGCACACATTAGCCAGGAGTCTAATGCGTCTAATGTAGCCAGGGTCTCCTGCACAGGTGGCAGGAACCCAGTGACACCAGCCACTTTCATTGCCTTCGATGGTCAGCTTTAGTAGGAGTGCTGGAGTCAGAAACCTGAGTCAGATATTGAATCCAAGTATTCCAACATAGGATGTAGGCTTCTTTCTTCTTCCTAGTTAAAAAAATTATTTATTTGAAAGGCAGAGAGATAATGAGAGCGAGACTCATCTTCCATCTGCTGGTTTACTCCCCAAATAGCCAGAACAGCCAGGAATAGGTCAGGCTGCAGACAGGAACCAGAAACTTCATCCTGGTTTCTCCCATGAGTGGTGGGGGCCCAAGTACTTGGGCCACTTTCTGCTGTTTTCTCACATATATTAACAGGAAGATGGAGTATCTAGGACTCCAATAAGGATATAACAGCATGTCCAGGGGGCAGCTCAACCTACTGTACCACAGTATCAGTCCCAAATGTAAGCTACTTAATCAGTATCTTTGCTATTAAGCTAAATGCTCAACTGAAGAATTTAGCAAGCAATATTATATCCAAGATAAAAGCTAGAATCCCTGCTCTGCAATAGTTTATGGCTAATATTTATATACATTACTAGTATATGAGTATAAGTACTCTTATCATAAGCTGAGATAATAAAGTTCTTAAAATAAAAGATTTTTCCAAAAGTACTTCATATTTTTAAAGGGATACTACATTTATACTTAATAATATCAATTTTTAATTTATTAATTCAATTACTTCATAAATATTTGAATACATACTATATGCAAGGGATGTGGAAAATACAGTGAATAGTGTAAAAATACACAAAAAGCTGATTAGAAGGGTCCAACTAAGACGCTTAGGATTTACTGAGATCCGTACACACACATCTTTAAAAACTGTTTATCCCCTTGAGATACAAAATATAAGTGAGGAGGTGTCAGAGAGCATTTGTGCAGCTCCTGAATGGCAAATACCTGATCTTGCAGTGACATCACTGGGTTATTTTTGGTAGTGTTGATGTGAAGGACATGGTACCTATTCTTTGCACATAGGTCATAGGCGATGTTGGTAAACGAGGTGCTTGCAGTTTTCGGAACTCTGTTGTAAATGATCACCATGTCTTCTTCCTCATCAAAGGTCGTATCTTGCCGAGGGCCATCCATTGTATGTCGCTGCTCAATTTCTCGAACCTCATGTCTTGCAATTGCCCTTTCTGCAAAGAAAAACACAAAAAACAAACAAACCGTGAATCAAGTTTGTAATGACACTATAAGGAAGTTATGAGCCCTGAAGGTTGAGCCATGAAGAAAGAGAACTAAAAAAGAGAACAAAAGCAAAACGTTATGAAGGCAGGCACACAAAAAATATGACAGAATGGCTTGAGTTTCAAGAAGACCAATTCAGTTGACTCTACCACAACTTAGGCATAGAATTTAGTTTTCCCAGTCAAGAGCTGGGTAAGAACATGGGAAAAAATGCTATAAAGAGCAAAGCTTCAGAATTACTTTTTACAGCATAATACAGATGAACATCAGGAACAAAAAAATAGAGTCAAGTTTAGAATATTACAGACCAAAAAGCACTATAGTACAGTTCAAAAGTCACTTTACATTCTAATAGAATTCCTACAGCCTGAATTCATTCTCAAACACAGACAGATGGCAAGGAATATTAAAACTCCCTGTAAAAAATGCACATAGGAAATAAATCACTTTTATAATTCAACCAAAGATTCTGAAATTTATTTCAGTTACTCCCTGGTTTATCAAAATTTAACAGAGGAAATGATTACAAATACTAAGATGATTTTAGGTTGAAAGAACAGAAACACTCAACAAAACCTTTTCCTTTTGGTGTTGCATGTAGGTCTTGATTCTATTCCTTAAGCTACATGGTTCCTGAAATTCAAATCACTGGCTACCATGCAGGCTGAACAGCAATCACACTTGGCTTTCTTCTACTTAAAGCATATTTACATTTACAGTTTCATTTATTCATTTTTTATTTTTCATGATATAGTTCCACAGGCTCAGGGATTTCCCCTTCCACCCTCCTCATTCCCCATTCTTATTTTCCCATATTCCCTTTAAACAATCACAAGTCCATCATCCTGCTATCTAAGGCATTATGACATCTTCAGTAGAAAGCCCAGCATCCTACTGTCAACATATATTTAACAGTTTCATTGGAAGTCCATCTTTTATTTGGGGTAGAGATGTATACTGCCATGTATCTTCACTTCCCCATATGCTAGCCTCCATTACACATTCCTGTAGATGAATATATGTGTATGTGTTTTGCATGAAGGTTGCCTTATATTAGGGAAAACATAAATATTTGTCCTTGAGGGATTGGCTTCTTCTACTGAGCATAATGGTCTGAAGATGGTCTATTCTGTTACAAATGGTAGAATTTCATTCTTTTTAATGGCTGAGCAATAGTCCATAGAATAGATGTACCACATTTTCTTTATGTATCACATTTCTCCTCTTCTGACAGGTACTTGTGTTGTTTCCATCCATGTCTTTTCTACTGTAGATTGTGCTGCTGTAAATACAGAATTACAGATCACTTCCTCATATGCAGATTTCATTTCCTTTGGATATATTTCCAGGAGTGGGATAGCTGGGTCATATGGTAGATCAATTTTGTTGTCTTAGCACACTCCATACTGATTTCCATAGTGGCTGTACTAGCCTACATTTCCACCAACAGTGAAGAAGGGTACCTTTCTCTGCACATTGATACCAGCAGGTGTTAGTAGATTTCTGAATGTGGGTCAGTCTCACTGGAGTTAGGTGGAATCTCAATATGGTTTTTATTTGCATTTTTCTGATAGCTAGGGAGCCTTAGCATTTCTTCATATGTCTATTAGCCATGAGAATTTGTCCAGTATTTACAAAAAGCTTCAGAAGCTCAGCAATAGCAAACAACTCTGAGTTGAGGTGAAGATAATGAGCAGGTATTTTTTTTCCAAAGGAATTTTTAAAGAGTTTTATTTACTTATTTATTAATTTGAAAGGCAGAGTGACAGAGAGAGAGAAGGGAAGAAGGAGAGATCCTCCATTTCTTGGTTCACTCACCAAACAGCTGCAACAGCCAGGAATGGGTCAGGCTGAGGCCAAAGCCAACTTCATCTGTATTTCCCACATGGGTGTCACGGCGCGCACACACACACACACACACACACCTGGGCCATTATCTCCTGACTTCTGAGGCATATTTATTGGGAGTTGGAGCAGATGAGAAGCAGCTAAGAGTTGAACTGGCACTCTGATACCAGATACTGGTGGGATGCTGGTGCCATAAACAGTGGCTTCATTTTTACTGCACCACAACCCAAGGCCTGTGAACTACATTTTATTTTTTTATTCTTTAAGGAATAAGAAGGCAAAAAGAAAGGGAAGGGAGGGGGAAACAGCACGCAAGAACAGAAGGGAAGATTAAATTACTCTGTACAAGATAGGTATTCACACATGGAGTGTTTCCTCCTACCACCAGATCTTTGTGAAAGCTGCCTCATCTACCTCAAACTGCCACTCTACTTTCAACCCCTCAACCTTCACTTACCAAGGAAGAATCACGTGACTTCCCTAAGTCAGATCACTTCTGACAGAGTTAAGACAGAGAGGGAGCAGTCAGGGAGGGGGTTTGGAGGGAGACAGAGAGAAAAGAGAAAAAATGGGAGGGAAAAAAGAGAAACAGGAAGAGAAAGAAAAAAGAGAACAAATCTTCCACCCACTGATTCATTTCCAAATGGCTGCAAAGCCTGCCTTGTCTGAGTCAGGCCAAAGCCAGGAGCTTCATCCAGGCCTCCCATCTGGTACAGAGGCCAAAGCATTTGGGCAATCTTCCACTGCTTTCCCAAGCACAGTACCAGGAAGCTGGACTGGAAATGGAGTAGCTGGGATTTGAACCAGTGCCTATATGGGATGCTGGCATTGCTGGTCGCAACTTAACCCTCTGTGTCATAACACTGGCCCCCAGGTCACCTTTTAAAAAATAAATATATGTATCTAAATTACAGTATATCTCACATGTTTGTCATAATTGAAATTTATACAATATATGGTTATTAGTATACTGTCCTCCTAAAATATTGACAATTTAATAGTGACATAAAGCAATATAATTACAGAAACACGTTTAGGCTTCAAATATTGTCAGAACATTCATCTTAAAGTCTGGTTTGGAAGATACAATTTTCAGTTAAAGAGAATACATTCTTAGCTGAGAATCTGTTTCAGAAGATTTGAATTAGAAGATCCATGCCTGCTGCATACCAACAGCAGGTTTTGCGTAACAGGGCAGATTCACATATGAAATAATAGATATACAAATGTGCTACTTATTTATTTAGAAATGCACACAACCCTCTTTTTTAAAATGGGAATGGGAACTATAATGAGATTAACATTGATCACATCAATGGGCTACTTGGGACATCTGAGAGATGTATGTACATAACAGGGCAGGTAGTTCTGAACAACAAAGGAGCAATCTGAAGACAAAAAACAATGCAGCTGCCTAGAGAATTGAGAATCTGTGGTAAGGAGAAAGATCCTGGGTATCTTAAAAAAAAACACCAGTATTTAAAAGGCAAAAGAGGAAAACAAACAAAAAGGAGTGAACAGAGACTTTTAAGAAGCACACACTAGGAGCTGTCTGTGTGGTGAAGCAAGTTAAGCCGATACCTACAACAGCACCCCGTGAGAACTGATTTGAATTTCAGTTACTCTACTTCTGACACAGGTTTTCTGAATTGCCTGGAAAAGCCCAGAATATGGCCCAAGTGCTTGGGTCCTTGCTAGCCATGAGGGAGACCCAGCTGAAGTGCTTGTCTCCTGGCTTCCACCAAGCCCAATCTTGGATGCTGAGCCATTTGGGGCAAAGAAGCAACAGAATGAGGTTCTCAATGGCTCTCTCTAGCTCTGCCTTTCAAACATATAAATCTTTTTTTTTTTTTAAGATTTATATTTTATTGGAAAGATTTACACAGAGGAGAGACAGAAAGATCTTTCATCTGCTCGTTCACTCCTCAAGTGACTGCAACGGCTAGAGCTGAGCTGATCTGAAGTCAGAAGCCAGGAGCCAGGAGCCAGGAGCCAGGAGCCAGGAGTTTGTTCTGGATCTCACACATGGGCGCGAGGTCTCAAGGCTTTGGGCCATCCTCCACTGCTCTCCCAGGGTACAAGCAAGGCAAGGACTTTAGCAACCAGGCTACTGTGCTGAGCCCTCAAATACATAAATCTTTAAAAGGTGATTTAGTAGTGTGTGGGCTTTTTATTTTTTAAGGAAATTAAAAATCTGACCATGAAACTAACATGAAATCACATTTTAAAACTAATAAATAAAATCATCTATGTAACAACTCTTGATTTATTATGTGAATTAAATAAACTACACATTTCATACAATTTAACAACTATAAATTATAAAGGGTGCAAAATTGGAATAATTAATTTTCTCACTCAATTTGTTTATATGCATTTTTTATTTTTTAAATTTTTGCCTTGCTGAAATATACAGAACAACTATTAATGCAGTGTTGGGCCTAAAATTATTAAAATAGTAAAATTAAGTAGATAATTATTTATTATTCATCAAATAAAATATAAGCTGAATAATACTGTAACTACTATTGTGATGATAAATTTCTCTTCTCTTATGACAATACTTAAAACTAGTGACAGTTTGCAATACGGTCATGTTCTTTGCTTACTCCATAAGTAGCATTCAGTGCAGCAAGTACAGTTTCTGAGGCTCTGTGAAGCCGCTGGGGGAGGTCTATTAGTTACAGTACATTTGCAGTGCACTTAAGAGAAGGTAGGCAGTATACTTAAAACACTTATGATACATTTAGATGTAATACTTCTTCATATTTGAGTAATAAATTACAGAGTACCTGTTATACAAGCTATTTCATAAAACCATAAAATGTATAGCTGCAATCTGAGAGTCGTGAAATTGCAAGCAGGCCTGGCACCCCGGTGCTGCTGTTTCCCACACTAAATACAATGACCGCCAGAGCAATGCAACTGCTTCTCCAGGGCTCCTGCATAAGGTGGCACGTATCCAAGACTGATGGCCCCTGCCATGTAGCATATCCAAGTCTTCCAAGAGGCCAGCAAAACCAGCATAAAGAGATTCATAACTGGTAAAGAAATCACAAATAAAAGGCAAAAGAAATAATAATTTTATAAAGACAACACA